CTTTTGAAATATTTTGTTTAAATTTTGAGTACATTGTTGCTTGTTCTAAGAATAAATATGTGAAAACTAACAATGAAAGAAATTTTTCCTAGAGAATCCAGATCAAACATTAGTAGATTTATATTCAAGTGTTTATGCAAATGTATATTATTTATAAAATTGGTATAAGGTACCAATTAAAAGAATTACTTATTTTGCAAACAATGAGTTTTAAAAAATTTTTAAATTGATTTTTTCATTTTGATAAATTAATTATTAACATGTTAGATAGTACTCAGAATTCTTATGAAATGAACAAATTATTTGAAGATGCTTTCCTTTTGTGCTCTTGCAAAATAAAATTAAAATATAAAAGCTTACTTGTCTGAAAAGTATCACAAATAGTTATTTTATAATTTGAATTTCATTTATGCAATATGAAACATTCTTAAAACTGTACTTAAAATGTATTATAGATATTTCTTTGTGGTAAGTCATGTACAATATATTTTATACATACATGAAACCAGCTTCAGAAATATGTGGTAAATTTTCACTTAAATATTTTTTTATAACTTCTGAAGTTATTTTCTTTCCATTTTCAATAAATTCTTCATTATGTTGCATGTCAAGTTCTGGTTCTTTTATTCCCATTGTTTCTTGTCTTTTTATTTCTTCAGCAATGTATGATTTATGTATAAATGCTTGATTCAACTTTTCAGTATCAAAATTTTCTGAAAGTCTTTGATTAAATGCATATATTTCAGTATTTCTATTCCAGTCAGTAAAAGTATTCCGCTTTGGTTCAGGTTGAGGTGGTAATCTTCTTTTTCTACGAGTTATTTCTTTTTGAGTTGGAGATACCCAACGTTTAATATATCTGCAACCTACATTTGTGATTAAAACAGTATATATTTTTATATTACTTAGTATACAAATAAAATGTCAGTTAAAACATTTACCTTCATAATTGACACAATTCAAACTTGTAACAGTTTTAAAATACAATTGTAATCTATTCATGCTTTTACTTTATAAGAAATATAGTTATAACTTTTTTCAAAATGTTGTTCTTCACTTTAAAGGAATATTAATACAGAACTTTTCATTTAGTACTAAAGATATAATTTAATGCACAATAATATTTTAGTTATTTTTATATTCTTTACAAGATATCACTTATAATTAACAGTAGTTTATATAATCAAACATCTTGTAAACATGTTCTGCTGCACATTTACGAAAAATCAAACACATAAATGTGGAATTACAATTAATACCAACTGTAAATATTAAATTTGCTAACAACAATCAGTATTAAATGTTTTAATTTTTCTTCAATAAAAACACTATATACTGTACAAACTATAAAATTAAAGTATTTCGTAACGTCCCCAGGCTAGGGATGACAACGATGTATCGATATTTTGAAAACATCGATGTTTCCTGTCGATACATCGATGTTTTTACTGTCAATTAGAGTTGGCGTGAACTGCTATTTGTGAATGATCCACAAGAGTGATTCGATCACGTTCGTTCCCGATCACGTTCGTTCCCAATCACGGTGATTTTTCACAGTGATTCGTGATTTTTCGTGATCGTTTCTGATTGGTAGAAAACATAACAACAGTTCTTTGTACGCGTGAATTTGTAGATTCTTTTATTATCATTTATTATAATCTATATGTTACATAACGTATATGTTGTATAATTATAGCAAATCATTCTTTTATAACTTTTTTTTTTACTGATTTTTAAAAACACAAACTTTTAATAATTTTTAATAGTAATGTAATTCGAACGATAAAATTATTTAAGGATTAATTTGATTGGTACCCCCTGCATTTGTTCATTGATATAAATTTTTTTTAATGTGAGTGTTTTACATCTCAGCAATGTTTCTTTGCGTAGTAACGAGGATAAACATTTATTTATACATAACAGTGTATGATATATGTTATTGAATTTCTTTGTTCATTGCTTGCTTCGGCCACACCGCTGTTCAATTTATATTCGGCGCGTTTTAAAATTCACGTTACGGAGAGCGACATGAGCCACATAACAGTACACTGAGGTACATCTCCTTCGAATCCCTAGAATTAAACAACGCACAGCGGTGGTGGTCCTATGTGAAATGGCGTGCGATGCATACGATGACGAATAGTATAGAATGACGAATAGTATACGATCTAGATGAAATGCCATTTGCTATCGTAAGCATCGTACGCCATTTCACATAGGATCACCGCTGTTGTTCATTTGATTAGTTTTTTGGTACACCTCATTGTACATGGAATGTGAATAAAGTACTTTTGCAAAGAGTTATGTACACGTTTTTCATTGGTCTATGGTCATTGCAAGTGATAAAAAAAAGTAGTTATAATTGTGTTATTAAATGAAGCGCAGGTCTTTATAAAATTTGTACAGTTGCTAAATAATTTTATATTAAACCAGATTTAAAAATAAAATTTAATTTATGAATGTAATTATAATCCTGTGAAACCGATTAATACTAAACAATGTTTAAATCAAATCAAGAACCTGACATACCTGCTGCACTAGGTTTATTGTCACATCAAACAAACGATGAACTTAAGGAATTATTAAATAATGATGAGAAATTCGAAGATATTGTGAAAGATGTAAAACAGGTAATTTTTTATTTTTTCATGGCATTTTCATTTTATCACTTATTTATTATTCTTTGTGTGCAGAGCTATATGTAAACAAATTTCTTTCCTTTTTTTCTTTAACTAGTTCAAGGATTTAGAAACAGAAAAGGAAGTGTTAATGGCTAGTAACAGATCTCTAGCAGAGTTTAATCTGTCAAAACAACCAGAATTACAGGAGTGTAAACAAATATTAAAGGAACTTAGTGAAAAAGGAAATAGGCTATGCACAAGTGTTAAGGAAAAATTAGACGAAATAAGTAAGTATTTATATTCATTAGATTTAATAATTTTCAGATGATAAGTTTAATCAATAATATTGCAATATATGATTAACTAACTTGAATTATGTATTTAATAAACAAATTAATAACAAATGTAATTTGAATAATATATATGATTAGTAATTACAAAGAAAATTCAAAGTTTACTTCTTTAATATTGACAGAAGAGAAGTCTGGACAAATGACGGTTGATACTGCATTGGACTTATTACAAACAGCAGCAGCTGAAATTGAAGAAGAATCAGAGGTACAGTATATATCAAGTATAGTAATCATAAAGATTATTAAAATTGATTTACTACTTTTTAAAAAAAATTATAACATTTTCAATTTACAGACCATGGCTGAAAAGTTTTTGGCTGGTGATATGGAAGTAGATGAATTTTTTGAGCAATTTTTATCACGACGAAAATTGATGCATCTGCGCAAAGTTAAAGTAGATAAATTGAGGGAGTTAACAAGAAAATCACACTTCACCACTGGTAGTTCTGGTTATCCAGTTGCTAGTAATTTTCCAGGGTTAGCACCTTCAATTCCATATCCAACTGGACCTGTTTCAATGCCAATGCCTGTACCATCTGGATTACCACATTATAGACCCTATTAAGTTATATTTGATAAGAAAAGCATTCAATTTAAAGTGATTTAGATTTGAAATATTGAATTTTCGTTGGTATTATAAAGAACATGTAATTTTAATTAATAATTTTATATTACAAAATATAAATAATATATACGATGAAACAACAAATTGGCAACATTTGGTTAAAAGATAATGTACAGTTCGCTACAAAAAAGTAGCACACCCCGTAGTATCGTTAAATACTATAAATGTAGTTGAAAAATATTATTTTTGATATAGTGCGCTAGCTTTAAGTGCTCGATGAAACTGTTTTCGTTCATATTGTAAACAGTAGATTTCACGTTCAGCAAAAAACAAACATAAGTGGTTACCGCTCCGACAAAATGTTAGCACAGTCTAAATGTTTTCTTTTCTCAGTTATAAAGATATATACAACTGTGCAAATACAACTTTTCTCTATGACATTTTATCCTTATCTTATCTTCAATCTTACCAGAGATATTTAGGTGTTTTGTTTCTCGTGACTCGCCCTGTATGTCCAATATTTCAGGAGTAATGTGCTATCATTTTGTCGCACCGATATTATGTTATTTTTTAATACAGTGCAACAGAGGTTTCGACTTATCGAGTTTTCGAGTAGGAGGTCATTAGCAATATCCTTTTCCTTTCTTGACCCAGTTTTTACTGTTTCAATTATGTTTACTTTATTAACCAATGTTAATGTTTTTCGCTTGCGTTTAGAATTCATTTTGTTAATTAAATATATTGAAGTAAAATTGAGATTGTTGCAAGTTAGATATCTTGCAGTATGATGGTAAAATCAGTTAAAATGATATAAATATGGATTTAATTTATGCAATTCTACACTTTCTATTCTAAAGTTCTC